GTCCCGCCCTCCGCGCTCCCGGTCATATCGATAAATCTGCGCCGGCCGTGACAATCAAAGATGATCTGCTGAAGGGGGAGGTAGTCATGCCTCGGCTAGGGAATGAGACTGCAAAGTATGTGAGCCTCTTGTTTTGGGACTAGAACACGTACTGAATTAGTCTGGGGGAACATTAGAGCGGAGTTGGGTCGTGCGACCTGGAAATATTTCCATACCTTGTTGGCTCGGTATCCAGAAGAACCGACGGAAGAGCAGCAGGAAACATTACGCTCGTTTATCCATCTTTTTGCGCGACTTTATCCTTGGTACGTTTGTCGTCATGGACCTGACAAAACATCTTTCAGGAGCTGACTCGTGGACTAGCGGTGAATGCGCCTCTCACTTTCAAGGTCACCTGAAGAAATACCCACCGCAAGTATCCTCAAGGAACGCCGCTGCAGGCTGGGGCTGCTTTATTCATAATGAGGTCAATGCGATGCTAGGGAAACCCGAATTTGATTGCAACAACATCGGCGACTTTTACGATTGCGGTTGCGCAGAGGACGAGAAGGCGGCAGGTGATAAAGACAAGTCTCAGGATGAGGGTCAGGGTCTGCGTCAGAAAAAGGAACACAAAGACGACGCTATCCCGCCTGTCGATATACACAAGGAACCGTCAGTAGTACCTCCACCTTTCACATACATATCAGCTGCTGACGGACCATCACAGCACTACTCGGGGCTGATTGCCATTGTTACCTCCAAATGCCCGGGAAAAGCCATACAAGTTTCTTTATTACGACACTCTTATCACGCAGGTCGTTTCGTATTTACCATTTTGCTGGAGCCGGGCTCTTTGTACAGTAATAGAATTCGCGACTGTCAGAATTGCTTTGTAAATTGAGCTCAGGATATACCCTTGCATGTTTGAATCTTGGTTTCGATTCTCCGAAATATTCAAGATATGAAAGGGATTGCTCGCTATCCATTGGTACTCCGATATATGCAAGGCATTGCATACCAATACAAGCTTCAGCATTTCCCTATCAGGTGGAGGGGCAGATGACGGTCTACGCATGGCTACACAGGCGTCCCTCTTTGGACGCATGACTTTATTTGGCGACCTGCAAGCATTTGTGACTTGCACAACTGACCATGGTCATCCACCAGAAGCAGCTTCTTCATATTGCCATCACTACGTGCTGCAGAATGAAAGTGTGAGATATGACGTCGCTCGGACCTGGGAAACAAGCAAATCTAAGACTATTCTCTCTTACCCAAGCAATCGATGTGGATGAATCGATCAGCCCATATACGAACCCGTTTCCACTCCTAAATATATCTTCTGATAATCCACATCCATAATATTGACAAAAGAACCCAACATTGTGATAAATATAGCTTCCCTCAGCTATGTCTCATTCTACCTTATGATTGCAAAAGTTCGTATAAACTTTCCTGCGGTTTGGGCAGACTCATGGCCCTCCTCCAACCAGCTGAGCGGGCGGTTGGTGGACAGTCCCCTCCTTGGCCATGCCGCAGCGAGTCTTCTGACAACCTGGGCCGATCATTGTAGAGGTGTGGCTGCCGCGCTCATCATTAATACCTTTGATCCACATATCTCTGTCCTTATGAACATGGAAACCCCCCTGCTCTTTGGCTGGGCGTAATGCGTCTCAGGATTCGCCCAGAAGCGGATGTAGATCGAGCGGACGGTGATACACACGCGGACTAAAAATGTGAAACAGCCCCGGAGACATACGATGTTTCACTGCCACAAAGATTATATTCAAAATCGTCAGGCCACATTAGGATAAGAATAGGTTGATGTTGAAGTTGCTGAACCTGGAGGAAGTATATGATCGCGGTTGCGGGGCCTGCTTGGATAGTGGATACCTGGTTTGTAAGGCAAGATCCAGACATTTAATCTAGTCCCAAAGGAGCATAGCGTAAAGCGAATTATTGTCGAGCTTCTTTTTTCTTTTTTTTCTGTTCATTTTCCTTCGCGCCCAGCAGAAGACGGACATTCAAGAAATTTTCAAACATTACGAGGGACAGCAGGAAGCAGCGCTTATAGTGGAAAGAGAATCTTTGGTGTGCTGGATCCCTGTGAACTAGCGCGAAACTCATTCTATTCTCCTACTTGCTTTCGTTTCTCCATCAACGCTCTTTGTTGACATTACCTCCGCCGCAGGGGCTCACCACTTACTCCATAACTTCCGCTCCTCTTTAGTGCAAAGAAACAGATAAAGGTCACACATTCAGGCCTGTATATGACAGGTTTATTGCAATTCTAAAAGCCAGTCCCTCTTCTGTCTCTCCGTCCGGATCCAATAGTTTGCGCAGACACTTGCCGAGTGGGTGATAGCGGGGTCAAAATGGTTTCCTTTTCATGCGAGGTGAGTCTTACCCGTCGCTTCGCTCCTCACTGTCAGACGAGAGATATCGCTCAATTAAGAAGCATTGGAGCTAACCCGTGTTTTTTCCTAGGCCTGTGGTGATGTCCTCACCAAGAAAAAGCTCGATCCTCATCGCAACCAATGCCGAGGGGCATCCTTCACTTGCATCGATTGTATGGTACACTTTCAGGGGACTAGCTACAGATCGCATACGGTATGTCCATCATTTTTCTGACTCTCGGCTCTAGATTTCGCCAGCGCGCATCCTCTTTTTGTGCGAACTCGTTCCTGCATTGTCGCGTTGTATTAATAGCAAGCGTGGAGCGATCGCTGGAAGAAATACTCGAGTCCCTTCACCGTCGCTTCATCGGCTCAAGCTGACTGTCTGCTTTATCTAGTCATGTATGTCCGAGGCACAAAAGTACCAAGGCGCATTATACAAGGAGAAACCGACGAAAAGCCAGCGGAGAAATCAAAATCAAAACCAGAACCAGAAAAGCAACACCAACGGTAAACATCGTACTCCGTATGTCGAAGATGCCCCCGATAGCGATAATTCAAAAGGCAACGCGCCCCCGCCTGCTCCTAGTCCACCACCTACGAGCACTGAGAAGCCCTCTGCCACTACCGCTGATGATTCGAAGTCAGTTAATGTTTTTGATTATCTCGTGGCGGAAGATATCCCCAATGCATCGAAAGTCTCGCTTGGCGGGCCCAAGGAGCAAATGCAAATGGTTGACCATGCTCCCTCTGTCTTCGAGCCGAGCAAGGCATTAGCCCGCGTCGACACCGATAATGATGAGGAAAAGAAGGACTATGATGTGGCATATGAGGAGAATGGTTTCTCATACGGTGCTGGCCCGATTCAGCCATCGGTGTACCCAGGCAAAGTTCCCAACGTTTCCATGGAGTTCATGACCCCAGCGCCGAAAAAGAAGAAGGATCGTGCGCGCGGAGAGAACGACAAAGCCAGTGTTGCGACCAGCGACAAGAAACGTAAGCGCCGTACCGACGATCATGATATGGACATTGACTCTCCGATGGCTGAGGCCCCATCGAGTGTTGTGAACAACCCGGGTACGCCGATGCTGAATCACTCAGGTCTCACTGGTGGCTTGAATCGTATGCTGCGATCTCCGTCTACGGAAGATGGAAATGAGTCTAAGGAGGATTCTCGACGACGGTATCAGGACCCCTCGTCGCCAATCAAGCGGACCCGCCGCGATCATAAGGATGGTGACAACGATGCTGGTCTGGGTATTTCTATGAAACAAAAGGCAGGACGTCTTGTGTCATCCATGTTTGGAGGATCTGCCGTGTCGGGAAGCAGCAACAACAGCCAAGAGCCGGAGGCTCGCCGATCGAAGAAATCTCACCGCGTTGCCAGTCCATCCCGTGATCAAGTGACGTCTGATTCTCGCAAGACGAAACGAAAGGTCAGCGCTCAAGCAGGAGGCGACCGGCCCTCCCAGCGGCTAAAGCAGATCGAATACAACAGCTCCCAACAAGGCGACGACGGCCGCGAGGTGGTTGTTTATCGGCAGGAAAATGTTCCCAACGAGTTACAACGACAAATGGCTGCCCATTTTCTTTCCCTTGTGACAAAGGGGCCAGAGAGCTCACGAGGTTTCTCTGTAAACAAGGTATTGAAGCGGTTCCATCGCGAGTTTACCGATGAATTCGATGACGATCGTGGCCGCGATCAAGGGCGGAGCCGTGCAGATCGCGAGCGGAGAATTGAGGATGAGAAGGACTTGTGGCGCACATTGAGAGTGAAGCAGAACGAGCGAGGAGAGATCGTTCTCTTCTTCTGAGACTTGATCAGTTTGGTTTGTTCCCAAGGATTACATGTTGCTGTTTCGCATGGTGTGCGCCTTTCTACTTTTCATCGATTTTGCACTTGAATTAATATGCATAGCGCTTTGGCTTATATTGTAGGGCTGATTTAATTAATTTTTCCCTTTCAGATTCTTGAAATGACTCTGCAATGCATCTTGTGTAGGATTTGATGACTCTGTGTGACTCATTTTCGTGATGGCGATGACTCGGAAGTATGCTGCCTTCACTGTAGTAGCGACTTGGTCCGAATTCTCCACTAAAAGTTCACAAACGACCTGATAGTTTATGGAAATGGGATGGGTCCTTAATTGGAGCTTTACGACTGGCTGACTCATTGATCTCCATCAAATCAGATCCGTATTTCATAATAATACTTCGAGTTCGGTCTGTTGGAGTTGGAGTAATCCGCGGTGGAACCGTCGCAGCAGCTTTGCCGCCACCCAGCAGTACAACCAAAAGATTCCGTCGATTGTTCAGGAACACTTCCAATTTTCATCCCATTCCTTTCACTCATTTTGCTTCAAAAATTACTCGTTACTTCTTTGCCTCCGGGCTGATTTGATTCCCAGTTACTTTTTACCCCTTCATATTCCTTCAGTGCAGCCTGCTCTTGTACCTCCGCTTCTTTCCTGCGCACCTTATTAGGTGGCGTTTGAGCTTCGCGAAAGATCTTTTTACGAAGTGACTTTGCCCTTTTCCCATTTTTCCAATCGCCTTATAGATTGCCAGTGCATGGGTATACCTCAAGCAGCTTCGTCTGAACCCTCTAGGGTTGTCGACAACATGTCGGGTTCGCCAGTGGCCACCGCTGATAATAACACCCCGCGTCCGAAGAATGCCAGACGCGGAGGCAGAGGCCGTGGCGGTCGTGGCTCTCATCGATCTATCCCGACAGCTCCTAACACACAACCTGCAGCTCAGGAGACACCTCAAGTACCAACAAGCGAAGCTTCGACGTTGAATGTTCAGCCGAACGAATCATTACGGGCCGCAAGAGGATCGAGGGGAGGCAAACGAGGTGGGCGAGGGGTAGGCGCACCGCAGGACAATGGCCGACGACGTGGACGAGGACGAGGTGGCGATTCAACGGCTCTGAGCGGTGGTCTGGGAGGACGGACATTCGAGGGACGATTGTCGAGACCCGAGCGGGCGTCTGACGAGGATCAACCAGATGATACAGGGGATTTGAAGGATTTGAGCTTGAGAGCTGATGCGCCTGATTTTGTTCCCGGAGCGCCAACGAATGGAGTCGTACCTACTGGAGTGACATCCTCATTGGCGAGTTCTACGACCGGAAAGGGCAAGTCGAAGAGCGTTCAACCTCGGCCGCCGAAAGTCACGACGAAATCTACAGCACCTGATATCGCCACCCGGATACACGAAGACATCGCGCACAATCTCTACGAATGTCCCATTTGTACGAGCGAGCTGGGCCGAAGGTCGCGGATCTGGTCGTGCGAGTTGTGCTGGACTGTTTTCCACCTGAGTTGCGTCAAGAAATGGTCAAAGAATGAAGGATCGGCGGCCCAGGATGCTGCGCGTCGCCAGGCAGATGGTGAGCCCAGTCCACCGCGCGCCTGGCGCTGCCCTGGCTGTAATCTCCCGCACGAAATCCTCCCATCCACCTACTCCTGTTGGTGTGAGAAGGAAGTCGACCCCCGTCCGCTACCTGGCCTGCCCCCACACTCGTGTGGTCAAACCTGCTCACGGCCACGCAAAGGCTGTCCGCATCCGTGCGATGCGACTTGCCATGCTGGTCCTTGTTCACCTTGTACCGCGATGGGCCCGACTCAGGATTGTTTCTGTGGGAGGAATTCGTCGACTAAGCGCTGCCAGGATACAGATTACGAGAACGGCTGGAGCTGTGGTGAGATATGCGGTGACTTGCTCCCCTGCGGCGAACACACTTGTACTCGACCGTGCCATGAGGGTCTCTGTGGGGCTTGCGAAGTCAAAATAGAAGGTCGTTGCTACTGTGGAAAGGTGGAGACCGAGATGCTCTGCAGCTCCAAGGATGAGGAATTTGAAAGTCAGCTGGCGCGAGGCGAAGATGGTACGACCGATGAGTGGGTTGGCTGTTTCAGCTGCGGAGATCAGTGCAGTCGTCCCTTTGATTGCGGTGTTCACTTCTGTGAAAAAGCTTGCCATCCTCAGGATGCACATCCCGCTCATTGCCCTAGGTCGCCGGATGTCGTTTCTCACTGTCCTTGCGGGAAGACGCCGTTGACAGAGACACCTGACTTCTCTCCCCGCGTGTCCTGTGAGGATCCTATCCCCAACTGCTCGAAGCCCTGTGGCAAGATGTTGGATTGTGGACACTCATGCGACCAGATCTGCCACACCGGCCCGTGTGGTGCGTGTCGACGTAAGGTGCCAATTAATTGCCGCTGCGGTCGCACCACAGTTATAACTGTGTGCCATCAAGGCACTGTTGAACCTCCTTGGTGTTTCCGTGTTTGCAAAGCAGGCTTGCACTGTGGCCGACACGCTTGCGCTGAGCGATGCTGCCCTGGGGAACAAAAAGCCATTGAACGTCAGGCCATGCGGCGGAAGCTCAAGTCCCACCTCAGACCTAGTGATGAGGATGTCGAAGCCGAACATATTTGCACACGGGTCTGTGGTCGTCCGCTGAAATGCGGAAGACACACGTGCCCTGAAATTTGTCATAAGGGACCCTGTAACACTTGCCGAGAGGCAATTTTCGAGGACATCCCGTGTAATTGCGGTAGAACTGTTCTGTCCCCACCCTTGCCTTGCGGGACTAAACCTCCTGCTTGCTCGTTTCCTTGTGAACGGCCTAAACCCTGCGGCCATCCTCAGACATCTCACAATTGTCATACTGACGAGGAGAGCTGCCCCAAGTGCCCTTTTCTCACTGAGAAGAGCTGCCTTTGTGGCAAACGTGTCTTGAAGAACCAGCCTTGCTGGCTGGCGGAGACGCGATGTGGTCAGGTGTGCGGTGAACCGCTTAAGTGTGGCTCTCATTTCTGCCAGAAGACCTGCCACCGGCCGGGTGAGTGCGAGGACGCCTCGAGACCTTGCCAGCAGCCATGTGGAAAGAGCAAGACCCTGTGTGGTCACCCATGTACTGAACACTGTCATGCTCCGTATCAGTGCCCCGAGAAGACACCCTGCGCGTCCACGGTCACAGTAACATGTGGCTGTGGACGGCTTCGCCAATCACGTCGCTGCAATGCAGCAGTGGCGTCGAAGGGACAGGTGCCGCAGGCAACAAGAAGACCTTCCCTGACCCCGTTGACGTGTGACGACGAATGCGCTCGCTTGGAGCGGAATCGTGCTCTGGCATCTGCACTTGGCGTCGAGATTAACCCGTCCACTACCGTTGCTTCGAACATTTCTCCCAACAACCTTCCTTATTCAACGGAAACCTTGGACATGTACATCCAGCTTTCTTCCACCTCTCCGCTCTCCACTTTACAGACGTACGAGTCGACCCTCCATTCCTTAGCAACCAGCACCACTGAGCGATCCGTACGCTTCCAGCCCGCCAAATCCCCCCTCCGTGCGTTCATCCACTTCCTAGCGGCGGACTGGGGCTTCGCCAGCGAGAGCTTCGATCCAGAACCCCACCGCCACGTCTTCGTCCTGAAGCCCACCACGTGGACCCCACCACTCCTCGGGCTCGGCCCAGAGAACTCCATCGGCATCGGCGGCAAGAGTGTCGGCGAATGCGTCAAGCTCCGCGAACGCCAACGTCTCAAAGAGCGCGAAGCGCAGCGGCTCGCCGCCGCAGAAGCCAAGGCTCTCAAGGAAGCTGCCAAAGCCCAGCAGTCCAAGGATACAGGCAGCGACGGCGGCTGGGCCCAGGTCGCTGCCTCCCGGCGAAGCAACGGCGTAAGCTCGACGAGAAGCACAACACCGGTTGCGAGCCCTAGCCCGTGGTCTGGATCGAAGTTCGCGGCCCTTGCTGGCGGCGACAGCGGGAGCTGGGGTCTTGCTAAGAAAGAGAAGCTCGTTCTTCGGTCCGGCGTAGGAGCCGCGAAGAAGAATCTCTCCACTGCGCCTGCGACTGAAGTCGTGGATAACTGGGAAGAAGAGGAGGAAAAGGTAGAGCAGGAAGAGCAGCGTGAGCGTGAGCGTGAGCGCGAGCAGCAGGTGGAGGGGGGAAGCACAGACCAGAGTGGAGGAGAATAACAAAACGACTGACGCAACGGATTCGGGATTGTCCCATGAGGTTGAGATACCTGCTGAAGCGGCTGTCTCGACGGATTGACGGATTGACTGACTGATTGATTAATTATTGAAAGCTGGATGCATTGCTGTCTGCTATTTCGGCCGTATGGCACATTGCATGGATGCGTTAGGTGTTTTGTTGACTGATCATCAGCAAGCGTGGGTTTGCATGCATATGACATCTGATTTAGATGGATTCTAGATAAAAGTTACAGACGAAATAGAAAGGTTCCTGGTAACAAGGTTTAGACATACTTCGTGCTGATGTGAGATCTGATTGAGAACATAAAGTTTGTTTCCTTCCCCTTCATGCTATCTGATATATGTGACGCGGATGGAATAGACACTCCCTTAACCCAACCAACCTACTTCTATCTGCACTGCAAGAGACCTGCCAGCACGCCGGGGAAGTAACTCGTCAAGATCATCCCCACCCAGTCAAGTCCATAGATTCATGCTCTCCCCCAAACTCGGCGGCAGATCACCCACGCCAGTCCCCCAGTCACTCTCCTCCTCACCCAGCGTCAACTCGAGCGTCCACCCCTCCGTGAAAAACTCATGGCCAATCCAATTCTTGCTATACGGCTCCCCGTTCAGCCTCGCGCTCTGGATATATATCCTCCGGTAGGAGGAATCGAAATTGACATTCCTTATCGTCGCGGTCTTGTTCGTCAAAGGGTGAGTGATACTAACCGCCTCGAAGAACGGCGGGATGATAAGATACACGTTCTGCCCGGGGTTGGGGAAGAGGCCCATCATCGCGAAGACGGTGAAGGCGCCCATGGCGCCCGAGTCGTCGTTACCGGGGAGTCCGGATGTGGAGGCGTTGAACGAGGAGGGGATATAGGCGTGCGCGCGGGCGGCAGAGAGGGCAGGCCGGCCGGCGTAGTGGTATTGGAAGACAGTTAGGAAGACAGGCTCGTTGCCGATATCCGCTAGGCCGGAGGTGTGGAAGAAGTCGAGGCGGGAGATGAAGGTGTCTGGGCCGCCGAGGAGGCGGATCAGGGTGGCCATGTCGTGGGGGACGTAGCTGGGGCTTTTTGTCAGTGGCTTGAAGGTGGGTTGGGTTTGGGAGGAGGAAACGTACAATTGGTATTCCCAGACGCTGGACTCGAAGGTCTCGGAAGGATTGGAGGTTAGCGAGCACCATGATGCCAGGGCACTGCAGGCGATAGGATCTTGGTAGCCCCATGTTCCGTTGAGGTACTTTGGTTGGAAGAAGCCAACGAAGCCCGTGTCGGTTCCATTGATCAGGGACTGTTGGTCTGGCTTGTAGAGATTTTGCCAGTTGCTCGCTCGAGAGAGATACTTGGTATAGCCGCTCTTTCCCAGACCTCGTCCAACCGTGGCCAGGCTGAAGTCGTTGTAGGAATACTCTAGAGTACGTGAGATACTGCGGGAATTGGTCCCAAAGCCCAGGTAGTCAAAGTCCAGGTAAGGAATGTAGTTCAGACGCTTCCAGCTCTGCAGGCCACCTCGGCCTTCGTACGACCACTCCAAGGGCTCGTTCTCCGCATCGTTGACCATGGCTTCATACGCGAGGTTCCAATCGATCCCGGTAAGGTTCTTTACAAAAGCATCTGCCAGGACGACATCTGCGTTGGATCCGCCTTGCGTCCAGCCCTTGCAAAGACTCATACGACAGTCCGGTAACCAACCTTCATGCTTGTAGGTATTGAGGAGACTTCGCACCATCCGCGATTGTGCGACAGGGTCAACGATGGTGAGCAACGGGTGCTGGGCCCTAAAGGAATCCCAGATACTGCGAAGCATTAGCTGTCGAAAACAGCATACCATCGAACAATACATACCAGTAGAAGGAATCATAGTACGGCTCATCACTGCGCCAGAGCGGATTCTCGCCCGTCAAGTCCTGAGGAGACAGCATGGTCCGATACACACCACTCCAGAAACTCTCGAGAAAGTCTTCAGTCACGCCTCCCGCCTGTACAGAGATAGGGCTGAGCTTCTCCCGCCAAGCACTCTCGGCCTGTTGCCTCAACGTATCGAAGTCGTCATCAGGATGAGGAATCTCGTTCTCTGCATTCTCGCACGCCTTCTCCAAGCTGACGAAGCTCACCCCAACCCGCACAATAACCGTTCCATCCTGAGGCCGTCTGAATCTCATGAACCCACCAGCCTGCAGATAAAACAGATTGAATCCCCGCGTGACAAACAGCTCCTGAGGCTCGGTCCCCGCGCGATCATTAACCCAAATCCCACTATCTTTCACACCCGCACCCCCGAAACCAGCACAAAAGTACGAGACATACGACCCGGCCCCGAAACTAGGCAAGAACGTCCCATTGGCCGTGATCCGACCATTCTCAGCATCCACCTTGATGGACGCATTCTGCCGACTATCCCACGCATCCGTCAAATCAACCAGAATCAGCGGACTGAGCTCCGACCCGTCCTGCGCCCTGCGCGGTGGAAAGGTAAATCGGTACAGCGCCGCATGCTCCGACACCGTCGTCTCAGCCCGGATCCCATTCTCCAGGGCAAGAGCAAAGTACCCCGGCCGCGCAACAACCGATTCATTGACATAGTGCACCCCTCGCGAAGCTTTGGGGAACTGGCAGTTATCCAGCACATCGTCCGGGCAATACTGCGGGAAGAGGGGAAAATTGCCCAGCGAGGGATTACCCCCCGTGCCAGAGTCGTGCAGGCTCGAGAACCCCATGACATGGCTGCCGTCTGTCGCGAAGCCGCCGGTGTTCTGGCCGTCGACGTCGGCGACGGCTTTGGCCATGCTGTAGGGGAGACTTGCGCCTGCGAAGACATTGCCGCCGTTGGTGGAGCCGATGAGGGGATTGACATATTTGAGGGTGTCATTTTCAGCTGATAAAGGTTGGCCTGCAGCAAGGCTTGCCCATTGGATGGGTAGTAGAGCAGTGAACTTCTTTAAAGCTACCATTTTCATGGTGGAGAGTGGACGCTGTGTTGGTTGTCATCTGTTGGGGAGGAGTATCCCCGATATGAAGACGAGGAGGGTAGGTTGGACATGACGGCAACTTGTAATAGATGGATGAGGTGTATAACTGATTTGCTGATTGATGAACGAAGGCAATCAATGTCAATGTAACGTTCCATGCAGAGAAGGAGAGATCGACACTGCTTTACAAGAATGATTCAGGCAAGGTTGCTGGGGAGAAGGAGGAGGAGAATGTAGTGCGGGGTAATAAGATAGGTAACAAAGACGGTAATAACTACTCTAATCATAAAGATTAGGAATTTCCCATCCTTGAATATGTCTTTCCTGAGTGGGATGGCTCATAGAAAGTTTGTACGTCCCTGAAGCAGAGAGCTTGACGAGGATAAGCTGTGCATAACGTATCCAGGTTGCCATCTTTGAAAGGAAGCCACTCACTCTCATCTTGCCAGGGCTGTACGCCATATAAATTAACATTTCTAAGGTTCTAATATTCTACCAATGACTTGATTAAAGAGTCTATATTAAAACCTTGGAATAATATAATAAGAGAGTTCATCGCATTTCAAACCTTTCTTTCTTGTGTCCTACTTGCCGTCTAGTTGGTATTGCAGGGAACGAACGTCATCTGTATCTGCAAACTCGAAGACTTCCAACCCAACTTCTATGCAAAAGGTATCTTTAACATAATTCTTGAATTATCTCCCTCTAGATCACCACACCCTTGTTCTGGTGCTTGTTGACATTGTAGTTCTTCCAGACCGCAATGGCAGGAATCCCTAGAATCAAAATGCAAGTAGCGGCAATCGCGCCGTACATCTGGCTTCGGCCCCAGGCATAGTTGATCGCATCACGAGCAGCCGAGCCCATTGGATACTCTTGTTGTACTGTGTATCCGCCTACGTAGATCGACGTGGCATTGGGCTTGAGGTCCGCGGGGAGATGAGACTGGAGAGCGGCAGGGAAGATGTTGGTATAGATGGCAGCCGCCACGGCGTATCCAATGGCACCTCCCAAGCTGGAGAAGAGACCGATGAACGACAGCATCATGGGGACACCCTCACGGTTCGCAGAGGCCATGACAGCCATCTCCTCGCCGATGATAAGAGTGCCACCACCGAAGGCAATGAAGATCTGGCACATGATCACGTAACCGATGTCATCCGACTGACCCCGGAAATGAATCATTAAGCCAGCACCCAGGATCATAAGAGGTAAGGCGAAGAACAGACAGGTGTACTTGAAGTACTTGGTCCAGCGCACCCACAGACCGAAGACGACACCCCAGAAGCATGAACCCACGTTGTAAATCTGGGTCATGTAACCAGTCATGGCGGCGTTGAGATTGTAAACGACGGCGCAGAAGTTGTAAAAGTAGAGATCCCAGCAGTAGAAACTAAAGTAGACTGTTGCGGCCAGAACACAGGCACCCAGAACCGTGCGCTGCTTCAGCAGTTCGTAGTTGATAAAATGGACGCGGGCAAACCACTTCTCCCAAGCGGCGAAGACAAAGAGGAGGCAGAACCCAATAACGACCATGGCGATGAAGGTCGCGCTCTTGTATTGTGCACGACCGTTACTGGCCAAGCTGAAGGGCAGCAGCAGCAGCACCCAAGCCGCCATCAACAGGAAGGCACCGATGACTGGTAACAATGTCAGCTGGAACCTCATCAGTGGTGAGGACAGGGATGTTGGTTCAGCATACTATCAAACTCATGAATATAGTGGACCACAGACTGTGTCCAGGTGCGACCGCTAGGTTGGCGGACATATAACCCCATCTTCTCGGCCTTGAGCTGGTACATCTTGAAGACCACTGCGAGCGGCGCCAGCGCAACGGGCATGATGATAGCAAATGCTCCATAGGCCCATCGCCAAGTTGTCATGCTGAGGAAGGACGAAGCAGCCAGAGGGGCGGTGAACGCAGTGCAGATGAAGGGGGTACTGGCGAAAGCAAAAGTGAAAGCTCTGTTCCTCAAGCCGGATGTGTCTGCCACGAAAACATCTAGAATGAGGTAGATTGCGTCGTACCCGATCCAAAAGAGAACGTAACCCGCTGCATAGGAGTCGGGGCCGTCGCACGCTGCCAGAATAATGAGGCCAATGGTGTAGATCCCAACAAAGAGGAGGAACCCCTCAGCACGACCCCAGAGATTGAGTATCTTTGCAATTGGAAGCTTGAGCACTCCGCCAATGATACTGGATAGGATGTTCGCGGTACTGATCTGAGGAGCCGACTCGAATCCGCTGTAGGCGGCGTTGATGACGTTGCCACTGATGCCCGACTGCAGGGCCAGGAGGAAGAAACAGACCCAAATCCTGGAGTGGACCATCAGTTAGACGAGCTCGGGGCAGATCAACCCAGAAAGACGACTTACCAGGCGTAAGTTGCCCAGACTGCCTTCTTGCTCCAGACCAGCGCAGCCGCTTCAGCTTTCTGGACACCCAAGTGAGCATCCGCGGTGACCTGATTCGGATGTTGCTGGATTTCCTTCTCATTACGGGCCTCCAGACTCAGCCTTGATGAATCAGTGTCGGTTCGATCACTGATTTCGGGACCTTTCGGTGCACCCTCTGGAGCATTGGCTTCAGCGCCGGGAGGAACCTGAGGGGTGGCTTTATTGCGATCCCCGAAACTGCCAAAGATCCCCATGCTGACGTAGACTGCCCTCCTTCTAGCCTTTCTTCTAAATTAGGTCAATTATATGACACTGTTTTCTCCTAGAAACCGAGCGAATGGCGTATTCAGAGCATGAGCCAAGACTGGAGTCAGGTCAAAGGAGACTGAAAGAAAAGACCCTGGAAGAAGAGGGAAAGCCGAGTATTCATATGGTATGGAGTCATGGAATGGACTCATTCATCTGCTGGTCTAGTCCAAAGGACGACCCAGACACGGTAGCCATGAGTTCCCCCACTCAGCCGACAGGGGAACCAAACAGAATGAGCAAGACAATTTTTCTGCTCTTCTTTTTTCTTTTCGCATGACACATACCTGCTTCGTGCTAGATTAATCGACCGTGGAGCCCACGCTAGAATGGCTTGAACGTCCGTGAGTGGTCTGACCGTCTGAGAGGCGTGGGACTGGCAGTGACTGGCCTGATCAGATAGCATTTGTGCGGAAGACGGATCAGATAACTTCAACTGGTTAAGCTCATTGGCGTGGCTCTTGTCTCGTGTACCACGGCTTGGATGAAGACAAAATTATGATTGGAAGAGGAAGGAAGTGGGAACTGATCGATATGGAGTCGAGAGACCTGAATGAGCAGCGATTGGCGTTTGGAGCGACAATTTCCGATTGTTGTGGTGGTGGAGCACCGAGTCGACTAGGTCTCCGTCATCCTCAGCTTTTTCTCAAGGTAGAGGTAGTTCAATATTTGAATTACTTGCTGATCACTCAAGACTTCAGGGGAAGTTGGAAGGAGCTCCGTACATCCCGGGAAAATCATCTAAATTTAATGCGAGTGATACAGCAGATGTCCAGCGTTATATTTGAAGTCGAAAGTGAAAAGATAGATGGATTTTGTCGGAAGTGGCGGATGGCTCAGAGCCCCCAAGCCCACAGGATGTCCCTAACTCCCGGTAATTCTATCATAGAAGTCCTTGTGACTGTCCTCAATAATAATACGTACTAGATAAAATAATACTAGCAGTAATGAATACAGACTACGGAGTACCCGTGCACGGTAGCTCATGAGACGCCAAGCAGTGATGATTGGTCGCATATCGTATATGTGCAAGAAGCTTCGCTTGGATAGCCTTGGATCCTTAGGTCTGAAGCCTCCTCGCACCGCCATTTCTTGTTGAAATTGTTGTATTATTTAGCCCCAGTCCTCGTTTCTAAGCGATAGCAGTATGGTTTGTTCGAATGGGAGTAACATTAATTATTGTGTTAGTGGTTTTTGCATCTATTCCATGATGTCCCCGAAATCGGGATCGGGATGAATCAGAAAGGACAGACAAAAGTTTTCCAATTTCTGAACTAATGGAGTAGAGAGTCCCAGTTATTGCTATGAAAAAAGTTCGGGGGTTGAATAGTCATCAATATCCGCGAGCGGTGGTCATCCAGATTCCAGAGGTCGTTGGATGGCACAAGGATTGATCACATGTGCTCCTTTTTTTATCTGATCAATTTTATCTGATTTGTGTGTTTTGGGCTTTTTTAGTATCCACTATGGACAGTGACAGTAACGCCATGGAAAGGGACAAGCAAACCAAGAAAAAAGGAAAATGAGATCATAAGCCCAAAGTATCTCTCAACCCTCAATTCTTCTAGCAAACCAGCATTATTTATGGCTTGGATTGCCGCACAAAAAATAAAAATAGGGACACGTTCCATCCACACCGCGCTGGATAACGCCACACCATACTGGATAACGCCACACCCTGGTATACCCAAACAGGTAATTTCTGATCACATAATAGGATCACTGAACTTTGAAATCATTCTGATTTACTATATAAAATTGCTTGTAGGCTTCCTATCTTTTAAATTTACTAATCTAACATTATTAAAACATACATTTCTCAGCTAATCAGATTACATCTTTTAAAATTTAAGTATGCCTGTCATATACTGAGGGATTCTAGTATACTAACCCTTAGGGAGTCTGCCGCACCAACCGCGATTCTCTCCCTGAGGTGCGTGAGGGGCCTGATTTAAAGCTATTTGCTGACTTTGCTGACGATCTGCCTGACTGCTAGGCTAATTACCTCCTCATCTACCTCCTCTGCCTCCTCTGCGTGCACACTGTGTTGTATGCCTCTATTCTCTTATAATAAGCTTCATTAATTTAGGCATAATAGGTTCCTCCGCGGTTACAGCATAAAATTTACGCTTTCAGACGCTATATTAGCCTTAAATTTGTATGCCTACTAAGGTAGTATAGATATACTCTTGTGTATACATGATTCAATATCAAACCCTACGAGCAAGCCCTTATTGCATGCCCTACTTGCCTGTTTAGGTATACTAGGGTGTGGTGTTATCCAGTATGGTGTGGCGTTATCCAGCGCGGTGTGGATGGAACGTGTCCCTAAAAATATTGATGTTCCCTTTGCAGAACTATCATCCCTGGGCGGAAACTCTGTCTGGCTTATCTAATCTAATCTGATGGCGCTCTATGGCCATTAACAATTTATTCCATATCATACCTGACAGACGATGCCGTGTGAATCTAACAGGAGTCCTCAAATCCATATGATAAATGCTCGTTTTCACGTCGAAGGTCAAGTTTATTCCCTCAGTTGTCAAAAAGCAATGTCGCTTCAGCACTCCAGTCCAAGGGCGGAGACACAGCTGTCGTCAGTGCATACCACTACCTAGAAGGCTCGACGAGACTGAGTGGAGCAAAAGGGAAAATTCCTTTCCGAACATGAATTATAGCTACTAGCCATTAGATAGCGTCTAAAAAATCCTGATATGTGGTCCATTTAGACACAGAGAGCATGAGGCAACAGAACTCAACATTGTCATGAAGTGCTCTAGAGTCGTTGCAGTTAGTACACTAGTGGGCGGTATGGGTGATGGCTCTCCTCTGCCCATGAAAATTCCCTCAATTGTACAAAATCAAAAGTTGGAGACTATACAGCGCGTCCAGAGCATCGGATGGCTCAAAAGTCTTCAAGAGGGGCACGCAGCTAGAATTTTGGGTTCAATGAGAGCTAATTTATAGGGCATGGACACTAGCTGAAAAGAATCAATCAGTCCATGGTCTAAGTCAGTGATTGTGTAACAGTTGGGTTGGTGGCGGGTGTTCATCCGTAACACTCGCCCATTAGATATACTTTATTCAGCCCAGGTGCTGATGGAAAATCGTTTCCATACCCCTAGTACTCTGTAGCCCATAGTCAATGCGCAGTGTGTTGTGATAAATTGCAGCAGATTTTGCTCTAACTCCTGACTTGCTGTGGTATCCCTAGTATCTAGGGAAACTCCGTCCACTATATTACTTATCCTCCGACTTTCCTAGTTTAAAATGAAGCTGAGAATCATCTAACTTGGGCAGGTAAGATAATGAATGTTGTAGAAAAAGGAATATGTAAAGCATATTAAAGACCAATTGGGTCCTGGTTACCGCAAATCCAATGCACGTCCAGGGCCAGCTTGTGGACCTTGAAGCGTTAAGATGCCAAAATGAACAACGATTATGTTCATGCGGATCTCATATAGATATCTTTTGCAACCTACTCCTGATTAACGAGACATTTTCGTAGTTCTCCGACACTTTTTGCTTTACTGGGGCCGAGTCTCGTAAAGTACAGTAGGCCGTTCGAACTCCTCTCTAGAACTTTGACTGCAGACTATTATGCTTCGAATCAGCTTAATGGTCACTTTTCGCAGTCCTCTCGCGAACAGAGAGCAAGAACGAAGCTTGGATATGCCGTGGAAAATGAGACATCGAAATTATTCCACAAGCACAGTCGGACAACCAGCAAGGTGCGATATATGGCTTTGTTCCAGACCTAATGTCTAGTTGCAGGCTTGACAGACCTTCTGTACTAATAACTAAATTCGAGGTTTGTGTGCATTTGAGTCTGTGACATCTGAGGCATAGTATGATTTCCGCCTCAGGCATCAACTAACACCGGAACCGGGTGACTCCACTCGGCTCCAGCTGCCTCCGCATTGACAGTATCTCCTGTGGTTCACACGGTTTGCAAACGCCATTTCCCAGCCATCATCCTATGATAATTGGGGTAGCCATCTTATCCACGGATTTCGGATTGAATCATTGCGACTTGCGAGCCGTGCTGTTGAATCATTCTCCCAATCAGAGCATACCTTCTTGACACACCAAACACCGCCTACATCAGAATTAGTTCCTGAGACCTTTCGCTCTCAGATGCCATCGCGTCGCAGTCATACTAAATCCCGGAAGGGATGTACTAACTGCAAAAAGCGGCATGTCAAATGCGATGAAGCGCTACCCAGGTGTGACTCCATTTCATCGATTCTTCCTTTGCACCAACGACTTTGATCATTCAGCGCCATGCTGTCAAGGCTGCATGTCAATCAACCGGTCCAGGAATCGAATGCTGACTCGATTACAGCTGTGGGTTATGCAATAAACGACAGCTAGAATGTATCTATCCATCAACGGCCAGTGAAGTCGACAGCCAACATGCATCTACCCCACGAGAGATCATTGACACTACGCCCCAAGAGTGGCCCTTGTCTACGAGGATGCTCGAGATGAGGTTGATGCATCATTATCTGACAAAGACCTATCATACCCTGCATCAAGGCAAAATAGATGCGACTCACTTTCAGACGGTCATCCCGGAAATGGCCACATCCCACCCATTTCTGTTGGACAGCTTACTTGCACTGACAGCTCTGCACCTAGCCTTCCTGAACCCGGATGACAAGCGCCCGTGGATGGAAGCTGCTCTCAAATATCAAAACCAGGCATGCTCGGTTTTTAGTCGGGTTCTCGTGGAGATCTCCCCAGAAAATTGTGGGCCTGCCTTCCTCTGCGCGGTTTTCATCCTCCTATGTGCGACTGCATATCCATGCGTCGCCGGGGATACTCATCCGTTTGATCCACTAGCCCAGGTCCTGGAAACTCGCCGTCTCCTTGTCGGATGTGCTTTTCTCTACCATCATCTGAATCGACATCCAGGGCAACTGAAAGAGTGGCTGCGGTTCCCGAACGATGTGAAACGGGAGGAAAACGTCACATCCCAAGGGTGATTTACCATTCATTCCTTCGCAGTGCCTAGTATAATAGCTAATTCTGGCTTCAGGACGTGGAATTCGAAGCTTGTGCCGCTACGAAGGTACGTATCTCCCTCCGCCTGCATCTTCGAATGGAACGACTGACACCGTGCAAGTGCTCTTTTAGATTCTCTCCGACAAGTAGCGGCTGTCATGAACGAGGCCAGTGAACCGCACCGGGCAGCCTACCAGGACACCTGGGATTTTCTACACGATGCCATCAGTTTATGGCCATTGGGAGGTCCTCGTGGAGGCATCATATCCTGGCCCGTCCATATTGGTGAAGACTACATTGCCCTGTTGAAGCAGGGAGACTGGATCGCTCGTATATTATTTCTACACTATGGAGTTGGCATGCATCTCCTGTCCGATAAATGGTATGTCAGCGATTGGGGGCGTCGCTTGGTGGCTGCTGTTTTGCAGCCTCTACAAGAGATTCCCTCAATCTGGACCGAAACCATCATTTGGATAAGACAGGCAGTCGATCTTAACGGCTAGTTCCTCATGACAAGTCGAAATGACCGCTATCAGACCCGGCAAATACAGTCTCTGGCAGACTGAAGATCGGCATGCCTTGAAGCGCAGGTGCAAAGATTAGATGTGCACACCAGCACACGGTGCTTCCAATACATCAGAAAAGGATCGGCGAGCCAAGAAAATGCAAGCTTCCACACAGCAGTATGTGACGATGCAGCATGCTGCTTATCTACCTGCCTTTTAAGGTATTAATAGTCCTCGAGTTTTTCGACGAATGAGGGACGGTGCCTGAGGGCCTGAGTCACGATTCCTGTTGGCCGAACCGGAGATGGAACGAGGGGAAAAGATAGGTACGGTACTGGAAGGGAGACGCGGACGCTTATCAATTGGCATACGTGCCCACGCGACCGCTTATCTGTGGGGATTTCTAATGTGAGTCGGCTTTTCTCTCCCTTGACTTTATCATCCTTTGTCACTTCTGTTCTCCTCATTTTCTGTTATCTTCAATATTATTACTGTCGCATTCCTATCCTGATAGTGTCCGTTCAGCCATTTGCAGTCTCTCGGTACGCTTCGGAGTTCGTCCTATCAGTCAAAATAACTACGGACTCCGTAGCGCATCGGGCCTCGGCGGCTTCGAGATGCAGGGGCCTAAGTCGCCTAGTATCCTGCGAGATGTGGAGAAACAGGTATAGTAGTCCACAAGCCATGCTTCCCCTCATTTTCTTTGCATATCGCGCCATTTATTGTGGCATTTGAACCAAAGCCTAATTACGATGATGCCCCCAGCCACTGTTGCGTTCTTCTTCTTTAAATACCCCCGTCGGATTGAGCGATTCATCCCAGTCGGCGACGCGCAGACCGGATCGGGCTACAATAATGCCTGGACTTCTGAGGGTCACATTCTTGGTCACACTACTACTCTTGGTGTTGGTCATACATGTGCCTAATGTACTTACTTCACCTTTGGAGCTTACGTACCCTAATGCCAATGGTGGGAATCATCAAGGTCATCATGTAAAGGATGGGAAGCGTGGGGCAGTAGCCAGTGAGAGTGCTATCTGCAGTCGCCATGGGATCGACATTCTAGAGTTGGGTGGGAATGCTGCCGATGCTGTGAGTTCTTCAAGCTTCATCCTTGTCCCATCCATAAGAGAGCACCAATCGCGAGTCTTTCTGGGTAGTACTAAGCTTTACGATACAGCTGGTCGCGACAGTCCTCTGTGTCGGAGTAATTGGTAAGACGCCGAATTGAAAACCGGACTAGATCAATCGGACTTATTGTATTCTCAGGAATGTACCATAGTGGGATTGGGGGTGGTGGCTTTATGCTAGTCAGAGCTCCGAATGGTTCCTTCGAGTTCATCGACTTCCGTGAGACAGCTCCGGCTGCCGCATTCGAGGAGATGTTCAATAACTCAACTGACGCGTCCACCATTGGCGGCCTAGCTAGGTAAGATTCACTTCATCCTGCTTAATAGCGGAAGAGAACTAATGTGTGTTCAAGTGGTGTTCCTGGCGAGCTGCGTGGACTGGAGCATCTTCACAAGAAGTATGGTTCATTGCCGTGGTCGGTCCTGGTGCAACCTGCAATCAGAACAGCTCGTGAGGGCTTTCCCGTTGGCCGGGATCTAGTGAAGTACATGAAATCGGCTGTTGGTGATGGCGAGGACTTTTTAGTCGAGAACCCGACATGGGCGCTCGACTTTGCTCCCAATGGCACCCGAATTGGACTTGGAGATATCATGACTCGGAAACGCTACGCTGATACGCTTGAGACCATCGCAAACAAGGGTCCGGATGCTTTTTACTCAGGACCGATCGCGGAGACAATGATCAACGCGCTGCAGGCCGTGAACGGTACCATGACATTGGAAGATTTGCGCAACTATACCGTAGCCATTCGAAATGTGTCACAGATTGATTATCGTGGGTACCAGATCACAAGCACATCAGCTCCCTCGAGTGGTACTGTTGCTATGAGCATTCTGAAAATTTTGAGTACTTACGATGACTTCTTTGCTCCGAGTAATGTGAACTTGAGCACACACCGACTGGACGAGGCCATGCGTTTTGGATATGGTGAGGTATGTTGAACTGCTTTCCTCAATAATCAGTCCTAGAAATGTACTAAGCAGAGACTAAGAGAACTAATCTCGGCGACCCGCTGTTTGTTGCTGGACTGGATGAGTATCAGGAGAACATGCTGAAGCAATCCACCATTGATGAAATCCGACGAAAGATCTCCGATGTCCGCACACAGAATGTGTCTGCCTACGATCCGCAAGGAATTGAGAGTCTGAATGAGTACGAGTATCCTCTGTCTTCTGTTGAAGCTCTTTACTAACAAGCCCAGTGCGGGTACATCACATGTGGTAACGGCAGATCATACAGGCCTGGCGATCTCCCTTGTCACAACCATTAATACCCTCTTTGGCAGCCAAGTCATGGTTCCTGAAACCGGAATCATAATGAACAACGAAATGGATGGTAAGTGCTGCACCATGTGATCCCACTCAGCTGAACTAATTTTTTCTTCAGATTTTTCCGTTCCTGGGAAATCCAATTCATTCGGATATATCCCTTCAGAAGCGAACTACATTCGCCCTGGAAAACGTCCACTGTCTTCCATCACACCCGCCATAGTCACTCGTCCTGATGGAAGGTTATTTTTTCTTGCTGGCTCTGCTGGTGGTAGCAGGATTATAACAGCCACAGTGCAAAATATTATCCACGTTATTGATCAAGGGCTATCGGCAGCGGAGGCATTGGCTCAACCCCGTTTGCACGATCAGCTGGTGCCAAATCAGGTCAGCTTCGAGTATACCTATGACAACTCAACAGTCGATTTCATGAAGTCTCGTGGTCATAATGTGACTTGGGTCGCTCCAGGTCAGAGCACGGCGCAGGCCATTCGGGTTCTGCCGAATGGGACATTTGACGCCGCTGGAGAGCCTAGGCAGTTAGAATCCGGCGGCTTCTCGATTTGAGTATTGCTGTGGAAAACAATTTTTACGAATCATGCATCCAGGAAGAGCATAGATGCAGTCCAGGTGATAGCACACCTCTAGGACTGTTTGGCTGGCACGAGCGTTCTGAACGGCGGATTTATATAGAGCATACAGTTTTAGATTTACAGCACTTTATATTCATGTATATGCGCGGAATGAAATTACGATTCTTGACTTACTATTATCGCGTCCTCGTGAGGCTAGTCTCCAAAGGGCAATTCTATATACTACTGGTGATACTTCAAGGGCAATGATACAGCGACACCCTCCAGGTTCCAGCGACACCCCCCTTACCTGATTGGGTAAGATTTGGTCATGTGATCACCGCGAATTTGAATTCTACCGCACATGTAATCTGCGTTTTAGGCTTAGCGCCAGGGCTCAGGGCCTACTACCTAATCACCTAACTACTACGCCAGGAAGTACGCAGCAAGTATGCAGTAAGATACATAGCAAGATACATCCACCCAGTGAGATCCGTCAGTGTTTAAATACACGCAGGAAGGTGGAACAGTGAATTACGCGGGGAAGAGGGAGAGAGAGGGCATGGGCGCAGGTGCAGGCGTGGAGGCAGTTAGCCATCTAGCAGTCAAGCAAACAGTCAGCAATCTGGTGATCAGCCTCAAGATACACAGCAGTGAGGTCGCGGAGGGTAAGGTCGCGGAGGGCGTGGGCGTGGGCGAAGCCGCAGGCAGGGGCTCACTACAATGGCATCCCAGAGGGCATGACAAGCGTTATTCAATTTTAAATAGAGGGTTCTGATTGGTTAAGAGAATGTACAATTAGATTGTAGAATTAGAATAAATTCAACCTGCGAATCCTATCATCAAATTTATATGGTAAATTGAATTGTTTTCATCCTCCGCTGAGTTCGCTTCCCAATTCGCGGTGATCACATGACCAAACCTTACCTGATCAGGTAAGAAGGGTGTCGCTGGAACCTAGAGGGTGTCGGTAAGGCGCCAGGGGGTGTCGCTATATCATCCCCCTACTTCAACTGTGCACAGCCTCATTTGTCTTCTCTGCTGAGTCATTTATGTAAGAAGATTCTGATCACCTGACCTTCCTTCTTCCATATAGCTGAGTTGTGACTTCATTTGGGCGTTCATGCATGAATCTCAAGTCTGCTGTTCAATTCCTGATAAATTTTCTCCTGCGAGGTAAAATTATTTTCGTTGAATCTTGAAGGGTTTGCTCAGCCGACGAGAGACTGGCCAAATGACATTGTCCAATGATATATTGGTGGACGAAGCCGGTCCAACTGTTGATGAAAATAGTACAAGAAGAGAGGGTGCGGATTCTGATGACATACTTCCACAATTATATCTTGTCAGTGGGAATAACATTTCGCAGACTCATATCCTTCCAAGGTTCGCATCTTAGTATGCATCAGGCGCCGCTTACTCAATATGATGTATTAGATCGTTGCCAATAGTGATGTGCTTCAGCCCAACAAGCAACAATTAGGAGATGCTTTAGACCAAAGTAGAGCATACTGGTACCGGATTGCAGCGATAGCGCTCTCCCTTCATGATAATGGCATCGGGGTAGAGCAGACGAATCCTCACCATATGCTCTGGAGAGTTCCCAAAATGAATGCTAAACCGCAGACAACTTATGCACTTCAGATCGGTGCATGTTCTAGTCAAGTACCCTGTTTCCAAGCATCAGCTAATTGGAGATTGGTCGAGTCTGCACACTGCGGTCATGTTCAGAATGAGAGGACAGACACCATGCTTTTGCACCTAGGTACAAGATCAGCCATTCCATACACGTTCGATGGCAACAGTTACTGCCAATGGATCGGCTCGGAGGATGAGGTTGCCTCCGGTCCAAGCTATCTGTCAATTCTCATTCTAGGATGGTGTTACATTCTCTCTGCCCATCTGGTCGAGATTCGAGGTCAAAGTGCTACAATGCAATATGCAGAATCAAAGGCACGAGGTTTTAACGAGGCCTACCGGGAAACCATGTTCGCAAATGTCGATATTGGTGAGGCCGACGACGACACAATCTTGTGGTGGTCATCTATTCTGGCGCCTGATCAAGGCTGGAGGGCAGTTGTTCAGCATTCTGATGAGGGCGACTTTCTCGCGCCGTGGTCCTTACAAAATGCTTGCAAGCATCCTTTATCTATTAGATATCAGAGAAAGGAACCAGTCGGAAAATCGTCTTCTTCAGCTATGTCATCCAACAGAGCCTATGAAACTCTTGCCCGCTTTGCTCTTTTCCACAACCTGAGAAGTCAATTTCTTATTGCTTTTGCCGCTGCTATCCTAGTGTCAACGCATAACTGTCACGGTTCAAGTCTCCAACTGCCACAGCCAACACACACAGGCAGTCGATGTCCTACTGTTCCAACAAATACCATACCCTCAGAATGGGCCATGCTGCATGAGAACCTTCCTTACTATATGACTCTGAGTTGCAACCCAGAGGCTGTCATTAACAGCGTAAATGTTAGGCTTAAGGTGTGACCCAAGAGTTACGTTGGGTATCTATTAGTAGCCTTTCTCTTATGATTGATTCGAATCTGATCATCATGATCGATTGACATGTAAACCTTGGCACTGGACGTGTCGCCTTGTTAGACCTGGATATCTCCAATTGGCCCGTGCGCCGCCGCTTCTCCGCGTTGCCTGTTGTGGCACTTAAATTTATTTCCAAGCAGCGGTGTTACTCAGAATTCAGCTCGATCGACGTTGTAAGGAATTACCAAGGGAGCAGGACTCTCTCAAACTGATAAGTCTAAGGCTTTATTTTTTAGGCATTATTCCTGTTTTAAGCCTGTCAAAGCTTGAATCAAAAGGTTTCTGCGTCAATGACCCTTGCTGCCCCTTCAATATGCGGAAGCTATAGCTTCGCATAGTATTGTAGGGTGAAGGCAGTCAGATATGACTGAGGTATGCGTTCCATGTCAATGGGTGAATGTCTGAAATTCTGAGTACAAGCATTATTCACTGACACTTTCACATTTGTGTTACCCATGAAAAGGCATCACCTAGACAGAACCAACCATGTCTAACATCACCTACAACACTGAGACCTACTGCTTCAACAACTACAAGCACATCAGATCACTTAACAACATAAGAAAATATCACAATAAACTGTGACCGAGTCCGCAATGTCGCCTCACGCTGTCTCCGTCGTCATCTCCCCTCCCACTGTCGACTTAGACTCCTACGAACCCTTCGACGAGGAATACATTCGCACCGTGGACGAGATCCTCTCGGACGAACCTAGCTTCGACGCCTCATTTGATGCATACAATGACGGGTTCTCCATGGACGGGGCGAATGACTACCCACAGCGAGAGCGCAAGACGGGTCGAGCCTCTGTCGGCAAGAGAACAGGACATACACAGAAGAAGTCGCCTTACTTCTCGACGGGCCAGATGTCTCAGCGGCGCTTCGGATCGAAGAGAAGTATTACCAGAACTGATGTCGACGACGAAGACGAAGATGAGGACGAGGATGACCTCACTCCTGCCACGTCTGTCGAATCCGTGGAAATCCAGGCAGCCGATAGCGACACCGAGAACGAGCACCATAAGAACGCCTACGCTAAAGCCAACGGGAATGACGCTGTTGACGATGACATCGCCGAGGAAGATATGGTCTTCGCGTCGGTTAGACCAGAAGCGCGGGCTCGCTTGCTGGACTTCATTGCGTCACATCCATTCATGCGTGGTGGTACATATCCTGTGAGACGGTCCAAGAGACGGACCTTTGTGTGCGAACTCTACGAACAAGCGAAGTCGACTGGCATGGACGAGAGCTCGATCGACAGGTTGACAAACTACGTTAGGAAGACATATCTCGAACTGTATGGAAAGGAATATGTCGATACCCAGAGCTCAGAATTTGGTGACGAGATTGATGACGTGGCAGAGGAGAGAAGAAGGTCCTCGAAGGGTTCCAAGAAAGATCGGAAGAGAAAGCGCCCGAATGGCGAGAAGGTCAAAGATAAATCCAAGAAGAGCAGAGGGAAGTCTTGTGAGGAGAAGGATACTGTGGTGATGGCCGAATCGCATAACGATGCCAAGCGTGAGGTAATCGATCTTGAGGCTGAGTATCCTCTTGAGGATTTCTTCCCAAGTGCCGCTGCTGAGCCCGATGGTTTGGAGAACATATCACCTGCGAAAGAATTACCCAAGAGCAGGCGCTCATGCGTCAGCAAGCAGCCCGTTCGTTCCTCGAAAGAAGACAGATCGAACGGTTACTCTTTTGTCACGCCAGAGAAACGCAACAACAGAAAGAGCGTCTTGACATCTTCCAAGGACTCTCTGCGCTCGCCTGCAAATTCCCAGGAGGACCCGATTTGTCTGGGAAGTGACTCCGATGGACCCAAACAATCAGCCACAGCTGCCTCAGTCGCGCACTTGGCGAATTCTATTCCTTCGAATAAACCGGAAACACGCAAAGAGAGCACGAGACTCAGGAAAGAGAGGAATCAGAGAAAACGCCAGAATCGCAGGAAGAGAAAAGCTGAGAAATATCGGGAAAGCCTGAGGGTCTCGGAGATTCAAGAGCTTGCAGCCGACGATCGTCACGTTGAAGGGGATGCTACGACCAAGAAGATCGACCGGAAGAACGGCGACGATATCAAAGTTGAGAAGAACGTTACCATACTTGATGACCCCTTTTGGACTTTGGATTTTTAGAAACCAATGATTCGCAAGGTGTGACCGCCAGCGATGAGGTGAAGTCAAAATACTTTATGAACCCTCAACAAGTGGATGGTTCAGCGTCGAGTGTTCGCAGCCAGATACCTGCTACCTATTCTGCTAATTATGTTCAGGATTACAGGTCTATTCCTGAGGAAACTCGGCAGCTTTTGAGCGAATTTGGCCTACTGTCTGACTTTCTGGACTTGGACTCGGACTCGGACCTAAGTGATGTGCCGAGTGACGATGGCATTTTGGATGATGATGCTTTTTTGCATGGTGTGATGCAGTCGCCTGTCCAAGGAGAGAGATTTGTGCGACCTGCGGAAGGGATCCCTAGAACTCCACTGAAGAGCGCATTACTTGCAGATCCTCATGTTCAGTTCGTCATGACACTGCGTCCTAGGCCTCCAAAAGTGTCCCCTTACTTCCCAAAGCCGCTCATCGACCCCGATTCCTGTCTGCCTTTCCCCTCAATTGACGCGCCCACATTCGGTTTGGTGCAAGAGCAACTCGCACATGATCCATTCCGTCTGCTTATCGCCACGATCTTTCTAAATCGGACTCGAGGAGGCGTTGCTTTGCCTGTTCTCTTCCGAGTTTTTGACCATTTCCCGACAGTTGATGACATGAGCACGGCCAGTTTCTCGAAGTTGGTTTCCATGATCCATTCTTTGGGATTTCAGAACGAGCGAGCGAAAAAATGCATCAACCTTGCTCAGACATGGCTGGCCCGTCCACCAAAGAAGGGCAGTCGATACCGCAGACTGCATTACCCACGCAAGACGGATGGAGAAGACGTTGGCCGCGAAGAATGCATCGGGGACGACGACACGCGTGTGGCCTGGGAGATCGCACATCTCCCTGGTGTGGGCCCGTACTCGTTGGACAGCTGGCGCATCTTCTGTCGGGACGAGCTGCGGGGACTAGCCAAGGACTGGAAAGGCAATGGCGCGGCATCAGCAGATTTTGTCCCCGAATGGAAATCAGTCTTACCACAGGACAAGGAGCTACGAGCATATTTGACGTGGATGTGGCTCAAGGAAGGCTGGATTTGGGATCGGCACACGGGTGAGCGCAAACGAGCCAGCGAAAAGATGATGCGTGCTGCGCGCCGTGGAGGTGTTGCTCATGAACAGGACGGCAATTTTGTGTTGGAGACGTCGCCAGTGAAGAAGGTCGCGAATGGTCTGACTGCATGGAGCTGAACGGGTCTGGGATTTGATCTTGGTCGACCATGGAAGATGGAGTTGGGTTGCTTGGGAACAGGAGTTGAGGACTTGCGTTCAAATCATAAGATACCCTGTAGAAAGGTCGTTCATAGGGAATATCCAGAAGAATTCTATAATCAGGAGCTTCGGTTTTGTTGCAATGCTGATGAGATTCAACCGCATGGCGAGGCATCAATCAGTTCGTTGCCTGAGGTATAAATGATGATATCGGAAGTAACATGGAACAACAGCAACAAGAACACGTACATTCTTCTCAGACCGAAAACCTCTTACTGACATCTTCTCGATAATTGTCTGAAGTTAAATCTGCCCATCCAGACCTTAGTAACCTGCCCGTCGGGTTTCCATGCAGCACCACGTCACTCTGCCACCCCCAAATTGAGTCCAGGGACTACCGCGGGGAAGAAATGATGATTCCACTCTTCACCGCATAATTCTTCCTTCCCCCATCGAATCTTTCCTTCTCTCTGTCTGATGCACTAATTCTTTGCTCGATCTTCTTGTGCGACTCCATTTTGATCATCTGAATTACTCAGACGGTCAAGCTTTCTTTTTTTATCACATTCTCCCTCGCACGCGACGGCATGATTGACACAAGCGCCCTGCCCGGTATCCGACCAGTGAGCAGTGCGGCCTTCCTCTCAAATTAAGCGCCAGACGACGTACGGCCAACAGACGATCCCACTCCAACTGCGTGGCACAGCATCTCGACCTCCACGAGGTAGTGATCCGCTTGACTTGACTACTATCTTTGACGAGGTAACTAGACGAAACATACAACTCCGATCGAACAGAGACACCGAAGAACCGACGGGATCACACGCCCTGTCATCTTCCCACTCTCCGTCCATCCATCCCAGCCCAGTCCTACCCATGTCGGACCTCTCTCATCCTGTCATGCTATTTCCCTTGAGACTAAATGACAGAGATCGCGATAGGGACCGGGACAGAAAGCCATCCTCCTCATCTTCTACATCGGCCAAACATCGTCATCACCGCTCGTCCCACGGACGGCCCTCCCGCCCTTCAACCAAGGATCGAGACCGTGACGTCTCCACGGCTCACTCCTCCACCACATCGTTGTCTACTTCCATCTCCGCCTCGCGGCAGCAGCGTCGATCCTCCATGCCGGGCGTTGACGCCGCCAGCCGTTCCGCTACGGCCTCCTTCCTCGAGTCGAGGACCAGTCTGCCCTATCCTACCTTCTCGAAAGCTCATAGCAGAGAGGCTGTCAGCAAACCGAGTATTCCCACGCCGGACCCGACCGACTTGACAGAGGAGAATAAAGAGGGTGGGGATGCAGGCAAAAGTCATCGAACAGATAATCAGCATGCGCCTCCCAGTCCGCCCTTGACGAGTCTGGACCAGGGATCTTCCCGCAAGGGAAGCACGGTCGGCGACAAGGAAGAAAAGGCGGCAGAGGAGAAGAAAGAGAAACCCAAGGACCTGAAGACGAAGATTCGAATTCGAGCCGAGTCTACAAGGTCGTCTTCTAGTTTGCGCTCGAAAAAAGAGGAAGCGTCCAAGTCAAGCAAAACGGCGAGACCAGAGACCCCGAAATCCAAGCTATTGAGTCACGACAAAGAGAAGGATACACCGGCTCGGGTTGCAAGCAAAAAGTCTTCCAAATCGAAAATCGCTGATGAGGTCAAGCTACCCAAGCGCTCGTCAAGCCGGAGCACTCTGTCCCCGCCTCGATCACCCGCGACGGTGCGTGATGTTGGGTCAGGGTCGGCAAACGGGTCTGACGCCACCATTGCACCGCATCAGCCATCGATCACTTCCCGGAAACCGAAATCACCTCCTGTCAAACCGCCTTCACGAAATCAAACGCGGTCGTCTATGTCACATTCGTTTGGACCAAGGAATGGTTCGCCGGTCGATATCGCAATTGATTATGGTCGGCCCCCAACCGCTAATTCCACATACGGCGCTCCTCCTCCCCCTCCTCCGCCGCCCGAGGTGCCCGTTTCTATCCCTAGAGTCGACTACCTATTACAGAATGGCGGTCTGGACCACCGAGTACCGAAGACATTACTGGTGGGGCCGGAACACCCAGATCTGGCCCCTCAGCAACAGTTGCAGCCTCCTGTTGCGGCTGCCAGAGTCTTTGATCCGTTCAATCATCTTCTCGATGACTATCAACACGTCATGGCCAAGAACGGCTCGCTGGCTGTGGCGACGGGGTACCGGTCGGTCGCCCGGCGGCTTCTCGACCGGCTGGAAGCAGTGTTTGCGCGTGACATCTCGTCCGAATCGTGTCACTGCCTGATGTGTGATCACGATGAGATGGAAGAGCGTCCATCAGGAGTTAGCTGGGGCGAGGTACTCGAGCTGGTATCTGGTCGCAGGGAACTGCCTAGCTGGCCGCCGTTCATGATGGCCCCATCAGTGGAAGCCGACTTGTCCGGCGACGAGCACATCCCCATGCAGAAGATGGACATTGACGTACCGGAAGAGTATCGTGATCATTATCTCCGGCAGTCGCGCAAGACCAAGGTTGCAGTGGACAAGTGGTTGAATGAACAAGTGGCGCAGCCTACCAGTGCTCCCGAGGAGGTGGATGACGAGACGTTGACCTTTGCAATGCTGACCCATCTTGGCCCAGAGCTGCGTCCGTTGTTCTGTTCGCTTCTAGGCATCACGTCCACGTCGACACCAACCCCACGGACGGACGACCAGCAGCCTCGAGCTAGACCGCAGGCGCTTGTGTCATCTTCGCTCGCTATCCAACGACTCTATCGACTATCCTCTCTGCCGCGTGACCCTGAAACTGCAATTTATATGTTGAACAACCCTGGCATCCACCATGTACTTGCAACCCTTGCTGCAATCAGCGATGATGAATGGGATATCCTCATTTCAGGTCGCTTTGATGGATTCTTGCGCAGTGGTGCCGAGGATCCGATTCCCGGCGTCCCAGGCGCGACTCCCTCACGCTGGAATAGCAGTCGATCGAATACGCCTTTTAGTACTGGGGGAATGTCCCGCGGTGCGACACCGAACCATATGGATGGCGGCTTCAGACCGGCCAGTCAGCCGTACGGCGTCAATTCATCATCGCCTGCATCCTTCGGTGGACCCATTGCGCTGGACGAGGAGACGGAGATCGCAGCCCTCGCTGAGATCGAGCGTGAGATTTTCCTCGGAATGGAAGCCCTCGAGGATGCCTTTGAAGCTCTTCACTGCAAGGCGGAGGCCGTCCGGCGCGCTCTGCGTGAACGCGGAGCAGGCCTATCCCTCGCCAATCAAAACCGCCGCGGATCGTATGTCGAGGCACGACTGGGCACTCCGTCGTCCGCATTGGGGACTTGGGAAAGCGGGACGGAAGATGATGGAATTGACGATGACCGGTCACTGGCTCCCGATGACTCGGCTAGCAACATCAGTTCCAACCGTCGACGACGGCCCAAGCGACGCACCGAACGACGCACACCTGCGCCCGTTGAGGAGGAAGACGAGGAAGACGAAGCGTCACAGCCCAGCCGCCGTGATCGCGATCGCGGGTCGCGAAGGAGATGAACTTTGACAACATTTGAATCAACTCAACTGAAGAGATGATGAAGATCTTTTACGACTCTACCCCGAATCAGTTTGATCATTCTTTTACAGAAGTCGATGGGAAGGCCCGACGACGACGACAAACGACGTAGTTACGATCGCAACGAAGCGTAAGATATGAAACGAGTTGACATGGGACAAGACGACGAAATATGGATTGTACATGTACTTCCGGCAGATTGATATTTCCTGCTTCTGTTTGTACTTTACCCGGAGGTTTACTGAGGATGTTACTCGGCTGTTGCTCTGAATAGTAGTCTCAGGTACTAAACAAGCCATTTGATATCTACTCCGTAGAATGAATAGCATCCAGCACGGGACTCGGACTCTAACCGAGCCGTCGTCAGGTCAGACTGCGCCTTCTGTATGTGATTTTCGACATCCAAAGACCCCCTTTTTGTGCAGGGTCTACAAAGGAAGCACATCGCAGTCACATGAAAACATACCTCCCAGATCAATATCAGAATCTCAAGTCAATGCAAGAACTCCTCATGGTACCAAGTCCTCGTAAACAACAAAAATAAACTCCAGTCACCCAAACCTTGACACATGTAGCCTCGGACGAAGAACCCAAAACAGCTAAGCCGGTCCTTAACTTTGGGAGTCTACACTACAATAATCTTACAGAATGTGGAGTATAGCTCCACGGGTAATTCACCCCTGACAGGGGATGGAATTGGTTCGTTCTCTGTTGAGGGGTTCACAATAGCATTCAATAGATTGACAGCAGTGACTGGGGGGATAGTGTCTCAGTTAGGATATCTAGATAGTATGTCGTCATTCTCGATCGGGAATATGCTCTCTGAGTACGGAGTAGAGGGCGTAACGATAGACTAGGACGTTGATATGACTAAAGCGAACGGTCCCTTGGTCATGGTTCATCCTCGTAAAATCCGGAGTTTGGAACGACGACGCGGACCACGAGTTGCCTCCCATGGATCAGGCGCATGCGATCCCATGGGACTCTCGCGTCTGGTTCCGTCTATGTCGAGACGAGTCTAAACTCGTAAAAGAGTTCGGTATACCAGACATGGACAAACTTTTATGCTCTGTCTTGCTGTTGATGTTGCCAGAGGAGGGTGCAAGCATGACAGTCAACAGCGCATTCTCCATGCAAGTCTGGGAGCGCGATCGTTGCTACTTCGATCTTCGATATCAGCATCGAATCTGGGGTCGACTGTGGCCCCGGGGGGTAGATCTACGAAGTAGCATTCAGATTCAAGAGAATTTGATAATAGACATTGAGGCTTTCAGCCACCAGAATAATCCTGGCGCTGATCATCAAGAACTGCAGTATGCACAATGCGCAGTGAACTTTAAAATGCATCCATCCGTAACTGCGAGAGTCCAAGACCGGCCCGGTTAAGGCTCGTGTAGACTAACTCCTATGGCATCCTGGTCAAGGAACCGAATTA